AGAGGGAGAGGGAGAGGGGGAGAGAGAGAGAGAGAGCACGCAACAGTCAATGCGGCCTCAAACAAAGGTGTCCACCACGCACCCATGGCTGCTTGCTGCGTTTGTCAGCACCGGCTAAAGCCCAACACAAACAGTTGTGTCAATCTGAAACACAAATAAGGCACAAAATGTATGTGTACATATTATATATACATACACAGTAAATAATATGTGTGTATAAACGTCAAGCTGTCTACATCCTCTCAAGTCAGCTTCCTTTGCAGTACCACAATAACCCTCAATCCCAACAAGCTGTCCTCACATGCAGCCTCATTAGGTGACAGAATCAGAGCCGACAGTTGTCAAAGAGTGCAACGTAGCATCCGATCATCGTTGCGCGCATGGTCAATTGGTCCAATCAACTCGAACGCACAAGCCGCTCAATGGATCATAAACTATGCGACTATCCGACCGGAAACACAATGGTGTGAACAGCATAGCGACGTGCCCAGTCGCACCAAACGGCAAGTCGTAGCCGTTGGAGCCTTAGCCATACCAGGAAGCCAATGTGCTTTTGAGTTGATGCAAGATGTCCCAGAATTCCATGGGTCCATCTTGCGTGAGATGCTTTGTTGGACACTATTGCAGGAGGCATATACTGGCATATACTTATATCGTGAAGTGACGTCTTGCCTTGGGCTTGCAAGCTGCAATGAGTCATGAAAGTAGCTCCTGACTCCATGAATGGCCAAAGATGACCAGAGTATCAACAGCGACGATCAAAGAACTCGTGGACAGATTTCCTCGTCAAAATCGGTGAATTTCCCCTGAGTCACCCGTCCGTTCGTCGCCATCACCTTGTGAAGTCCGGAAAACTCCGCGATTGGGGAGGATCATCGTCCTAGATCATTAGAATCCAAGGTGACTAAGGGGTTTTCATAATTACACAGTTCAGTCTTTATGCAAATAATATCAAATAATGCATCTTTAGTCTGCATGGGTCACAGATCGTACCTCAAATTGCGTTCCGGGGACGAAGAAGGATTCAGTGCTCCTACCGTCCTATGACCAGACTAGGACAAAAGCTAACAAACTGGAACAAGCTGCCAGACGACCGAAGCTCCAACAGTTCCTTCACTGCAACTGAGAGGCTCTGAGAATCAACGACTCTCGAACTGGTGCAAGCAATGACTTCGTGAGCCAAACAAATCAGGAGCAAGCATGGAGCAAAGATCCAGCAAAAACGCAGCTCGATCTTTCAACGTGACAGTCATCAGCCTATCCTCGCGTGTTTTGTCAGTGGATTTACACTTGAAGGGGCCGTGTCTTCGACTGAATACATCTGAACATGACAAGGGCCGTGTCTTTCATCCATAGTTAACACGGCCCGAAGGTCCTTTTGAATCATTGAATGAGTTTACAAAACCTAGAGAAACTATATGAAAATATGCTGCGCAGCCAACGCCTTTCGATCTTCTGTGTAATTATACTGCGCGCATGCCCACCAGGAGTGTTGCGATTCCGTTCGACGAGTTGAAAAAGGATGATGCTGGAGGCCTAACGCATGAACTCAATCCGGCATGAAAACTGTTGTTGTCCGTGTTCACCGTTGGCCTGTCATCCTCATCTTTGGAGGAGAGCTTGAGATGCCCAAATCCAGTGCATAAGGAATGCCAAATAGGGTGCCTCCAAATTCTCCAAAGGAATTTGAGAGATATACAGGAGGGCAATCCTACTGACTAACCACTCTTCAGGCTAAACTGCATGATGAAACTGAGACTCGTGGGCATAGTGCAGGAAATGCCTCTCCAATGCTGCCTCGGTCAACCATCGACTCTCGGAGAAGACTGTACCAAGACTCTCCTGAAGCACCACTGTACTGACGATACTCGTCAATGATCGTTTCATCTGTCTGCAGTTGTGTGAAGGACAAATTGCAGAGACAGTTTTCATGTCGAGCCCCCTCCCATGCAGCAATGCTGGTTTTCCGGCGGACTGTTTTTTGAGAAGAACTGGCTTTGTTCCAAATGGCAAGCATGACAAAGTGTCGTCTAGTGAAACTAGATTCTTGAGGCAGATACTATCTTGCTTACAACTGGCTCTGCTTCAATAAGGAAGATTCACCCAGGTTTCTTCATATCGAATCAAAAAAAGCTTTTCCGTGACTTTCTGGAGGGTGTCTATGTGAAAAAATGTTTCTTAAGTGTGTTTCATGAAAAGACTCTAATTAGATCTGTAAGGAAGTCCTACTCTGCAGCGATCGGCGCACCTTCGTCCCGCAGGAGAAGCCGCATCGGCAGCGCTTCTCTCTGCGTTCCAGGCGTTCGGATCTTCCACCTTTACGACTCTACTGACAATCGTCTGCGCTTCTTCAGACGAATCGAAAAAGGTGTTTAGTCTATTGAAAAGCATGAAAAAGCTGAAGATTGTGAAGTCAATATGAATTATATTCTGATATTCACCTTTGCCCATGGGGCTCCACATAGACAATGAGTCTAGGAGACTGTCACATGAGCAGCAAGCAACCGGAACAGCAACCGATTCCGCAGGTCAAAAGCGGGGTTTGACGTGTTTGGCGGCGTGAAAATGGCGCCTGTCTGACGCCTGATCACGCACTACTTCAGTTTGCATAGGGAGCAATCATGTTGACAACACGAACTGCTTGCAACTTGCCATTCTTTAGACTCTATATAGAGTCTGCCACAGCTGACCCATCCCTCCGAATCGCCTCGCTCTGTTCCAGGAGACCTCGCGTGAAAGTCCCAGACAAATTGCATCGATTTGGCCATTTCTCCACAAACAACCAGAGGCCTGCTGAGTCTGGGTCTCTCCCGTTGAGCAATGACTGCTAATTGGTAGTTATATAAAAGGAGAAACAAGTGGCAGCTGGTCAGCACTGCAATGAAAAGAACCAGTAAGAAAAGTCTACAGAAAAATAGAAATCTTAGAAACTGGTGATGCACAGCTGGTGCTCCAGTTGCTGAGCTGCTCGACAAATTGGAGTGTTCCAATTGATTGGTTGGCAGCTTTGAGAAATGCATCATTGCTGTGTGTATGGAGTGGATGTTTTTCTTCTGCGCCAAAAACTCGGCAACTAAGTGTGAAGGCCAAGTGCAACATCATTCACGCCCCCGACGTGATCCACGCGCTTCGGAGCCTGGAGGATGGCGCCTCCGGCGAAACCTGCGCGTGTGTGCGCGTCCAATGTTGCAGCAACACCGACTCACAGACACACGGATCAACAATTCAAAAGTCCGATTCATTCAATGCTCCTTCGTCCGTCAACCCGTCTGGCCCAAAAGTCCCAAGGTCCGTCCCACCGAAAAAAATGAGTTGTGAACAGAAACAAGCTCGCTCGTTCCGTTCGATAGCTGCCAGCTTTCTTTCTTCAGTCCAGAGGGTTTATGTCAGCTAGTCTCCTTGTGCAAGGCACCTCTAAGTAGTGCAATGCCGCCGAAAGGTCAGGATCACCTGGCAAGTACTGAGGCACTATCATTATCACCTGGCAAGTACTGACGCATGTCAAACTCAAACATGCAATTCTTTATGCTCACTGTCTGACAAGTGGATGGAGTTCCAATGCATCATTCAAGCAAGAATTCCTCCAAACTCGCAACCCACCCCAAGAGAATTGGAGACAACCACTTCAGCATGCAAGGGTTCCTTCCAAATGAATTGGTCAAACAAAGACATGACCCACCAAGTCCACCCACCAAGAGCCCTGACTTGGCCTTCAGATTCCAAGTAGGCCGCAATGCCTGACTTGATTTGGCGCAGGCGCTCAAGCCATTTGTAGATTTGATAGGGGGACTAGAACGGTTCTGGCTCAAGCTTTACTTGTGCATCATCACCAGTCAGTCATACACGTTCTGCTTCTCCTTTTCAGCAGTTAGTAGCCTTCACACATGGTGTTAGTACTTGGCAGGACTCATCGGCACACCACAGTTTTGGCAAGGCGAAGTCCTCTCCTCTACAACTTGGCTCTCTCTGTTCGCTTGCCTGGTCTTACTTCCCTGAGCCGTTGGAGAACCTGATTCGTGTGAAGCGAAGGAACCAAGGAAGGAAAGCAAGTGCTGAGCGCACAAACCAAGTCGAAGAACGTCATTGACAGACAGAGAATGAAAAAAAGCATTGATGTGTGGCTGCGTGGCTCAAGTGCCTGAACATCAATCAAGCTTAAAGTTAAAAATAGAGGTAGCAAAAAAAGCACGCACGGAGGCCAAAGCCCTGTCAATGCTACTTTACTCCAAGCAACTTCATCGCCTGCCGGCTCTCCATCCAACCTTGCTTTTCAGGGCAAATGTTTGTCGGATGACTTTCACATCTGCAGCATTCTGCAGCCATGACTAGATGCTTGTGGCCTGCGCCGGTCATGTCTGGTAAGGCTCTTGTATTTTCTGCAACTCCTTGAATGCCCTCGAGACTTGGGTGTCGATCACACGGGATGTGTCTTTTCCGATGAAGCTAGACCATCATGTTCAACAAGACCATGAAAAAAAAACCGATTTCCGGTGGCAAGCGAGGTAGCACGCAGAGACGACGATGAAGTAAGTAGACACCAAAGACAAATGCGACAAAGGTCTACATATATATATATATAGTCTTGAAGCACAGCCTGCATATCTGTTGAGAACATGTTGCGGCATGGAGCTTAAATCCAAAGCTCAAATCTCTTTACGGCACACATCCTGTGGCTGTGGTGCTCTGCAGTACCAGTGCTAAAAGAGTTGTGGAAGACCCTCTTTGCGGCCCAGCAGCTCCGGAATTTGAACATCTGGTAGGTCCTGCATGTGGAGAGGAATTGGGTGCCTTCCTTACATGTCCATATACTTTCTTTGGGTATGGTTCACGAGCACCCCCTGTCAGTGCCTGGAAGTCAGATCCAACAAGGTTTTGAGAAGACCAAAATGCCGGCAGCCGACCACCAGAGAACCCAAAGAGAGATTCAGCTGCCTGAACACACATGAGTAAACAAGCGCTTGCGCTTGTACCTGACCAAACACAGAAGCCACCGCCGCACTGTGGAGCTAAGCGAGGCTACCGAGACCAAGTCCAAGCCATAGTCTGTTGAGATCACCAGAGATCTTTTCAAGGGTGCCTTGTTTTGGCTTTGCCACCCCACGTCCATTTGAGCTAGTCACAAGTGAAAGCAGTTTCGCATTCTGCGTTATGCAATAACCAGCAGCTTTCCGATAGAGCCCCTGCTCTTGGCATGGGATACTGCATGGTTTCACGCCTGTGGCCTGCACCAGGAATTGAAGGACTGGGATGTGCGATATCGCTGTCATCCCAAGAAGCAAAACTGGCAGTACAGCTTTCTGCTCTCAGGAAAACCAGGCGATCATGATGTGTCTAATGTGTCTGATGGCCGGATGAGGCTCCTTGAAGCTTACCCAAGAGCCGTCGGGTATCTGGAAGCCAGTCGAGTCTTCTGAAGCACCTGCTGGAACAAGTGATGTGAAAAATGGAGTGGGTTCGGTGCCAGTGGTTCTCCTTAGCCAGTCACTTGAGAACAGTCGAACTGTCAATATTACTTGCATGCCACAAAATCAACCGAACACCTAAAGACCAAACGGCAAATATGACATATCATGTCAGGTCCCAAACATGACACGGGCCGTCTGTCAACAGTTAACGGTTAACACATGTCAACACTGCTCAAAGCGCCTGCTTGGCACAGGGACTGGATGGAGATCTTGATCTGGCCGAGGTCTCCAGCGAGTACAAGTAAGTGCGTATCTGGAATCTCTCTTATATTATAGATATACATATATATATATAATATATATATATATACAATTATATACTGTTTTGTTGTTTTAAAAGGAACTTCTCCCTCATTTCTCTTCAGTTCGATCTCCAAAACCATGAAACAATAAATTCAGTCAAGAAATGTTATGGTTTTGGAGTGATTGGACTTGAAGAACCCCCCTGCAATTCTCGCAACACTCCCGCTTCCGCGCCGCTTGGTCGACCCATGAAGAGCGATGTGCCTGGATGTGGGGACGCTGGTCCTCTCTAAATGTTTGTTTTTTTGTGGGGCAAAGAGGGAGGGAGCGGGGTAGGCCGCAAGAGTAGGGTAGCTACTGAACACACAAATATATAGTTCTTTAGCTTGGACGCAGAGGGGCTCAGGCTTAATGCTTTGGTTCCTAGCTTTTGGGGACAACTTATATAATGTTCTTCTGTTCAGGTTCAACACCACTACCGCAGTACATGTTCAACGCACAGAGTGCTCCATGGCTGGTCTTTGAAAACAATACTTCAACGTCTAAGCTTGTGCCGGACTCTCAAAGCCTTTTCGGAGCT